TGCAATGTTCTCCAAGGTGCAGAAATCTTGATTTCTTGAGTCTGCCAGTATCCAGCTCTCTGTGCCTGAAGAACTTATCAAGAGTAAATTTCTTACTGACCAAGGGGAGGGATGGGAGATGCAGGGACAGGACCTGGTTTAGGTTAGGCTAGTGTCATTGTACGGTCCAAACTGCCCCTTATGTGGAGACTATCCCTGCTGGAATCTTGCTGGTCAGCCAGTCCTCTCCCTCCTGGCTACTCGCAGTTCTCTTTCTATCCTCTCCCTGCTGAGGCTGATTGACTATCATGATCAACTCCAGAATCCCAACCATAGAATATCCTGCACAGCTGATACATCTTCCTGAGGCCCCTCTCAGTTAGGGATGGCTTAGAAAATACCCACACCTTAGGCTGTTAATTGCTCAAGCTGCACATTAGGCTTGCCAGGCCCAGCAGTGGTAGCAGTTTGGGTCTTATAGAAACAGACCCTAGGATAACCTGTAAGAATCAAGGAGGTGTGTTGTCACTGTTTCTGAAACACTCTGGAATATTACTCTCAAGGCCTAGGGAAGACCTTGATATGACAACTCCGTGCTGTGTTTTATATTTGCCTCCACAAGATCTGAGTTTTAGAGGATGAATTCCTTGTGTCCGAAACTTTTTTCAGCCTCTTGAGAGCAAAGCTTGATAGACAGAGAGGTGGTTTGGCTTCAATAATCTTGACTAAAGGTGCTGAGTTCTTAACGATATGCATTCAAGAAGCCCTTGTCTTGATTCAGTTCCATAATATAAGAGAGGTAGTATGTTTCACTGTGGCATTCTTTAGTCAAAATTGAAGAGGATATGGAAATATCTGTAGTTAACAATTCTCCATAGGGCACACAGATCACATGATTCTCACAATATTTTTAGGTAACTAACCTGAATTACAGTATCAGAAACAGTTCTGACAATGGAAAATTTGAGAAGATTGACTTTTCCCTGTCACATTTGTAGCAATCACCATCAAAACAGAGGGGGAGGACGTTTGATCAAATATATGTAACAGAGCTTACCATTGGCAGGTCTAGCCTAGTGGCTAATGTCATTGGTTGAGTAAAAATTAGCTCTTTCTTATATTCATCTGTGGGTTGAGCATCCTTAACAAGTAGAACAGGGGGTGGATGATACTCTCCTTTATAGTCACTTGCCATATCACAGTGGGAAACAATAGAAAATTAGCATGTAGGCCAGGTACAGTGGCTCATGGCTGTAATCCCAGCACTTTGGGAGGCCGAAGTGGGCAGATCACAAGGTCAAGAGATGGAGACCATCCTGGCCAACATGGTGAAACCCCATGTCTACTAAAAATACAAAAAATTAGCCGGGTGTGGTGGTGCACACCTGTAGTCCCAGCTCCTCAGGAAGCTGAGGCAGGAGGATCGCTTGAACCCAGGAGGCAGAGGTTGCAGTGAGCCTAGATCGCGCCACTGCACTCCAGCCTGGTGACAGAATGAGACTCCATCTCAAAAAGAACAACCAAAAAAAAAAAAAAAAAAAAACCCAAAAAATTAGCATGTGGCATCCTTCAGAATTTGATTGGACTTTCTTTTCTGTGGAATGTGGGCTTGGTTCTTGCAACCTGACTTCATTCATGGAGAGCTGGGCAACTGCCCTATCACTGATTTACCTAATCAGGAACATGGACAAGACTTTTCAGGGACGCCTCAAACCTGGAATCATGCAGGGACCCACTATCCATCCAAGCCTTCTGTTTGCAATTCCACTATTAAAGAAGCAGGTATACTTGTTGACCAAGCAAGCTCTCTTTAAAGTAGAGCAAAACAGAGGTGTGTCCTAACTCAGTCCTTTAAAATGTATTTCTCAATAAATTGGAATCACATTTTGATAACCACAAAGCTTATTATGCCCTGATGATGTAGTCATTTTATAATGCAAGAATGATACCAGAACATGATTGAACCTGTTGCCACATTATAAGAATACAGAATATACAGATTCACCCAAAGGCAAATCCTTACCTTTGGCTGATGAGTATTAGCATTCAGCAAGACAATCCTCTTCTTGGCCCTGTTCTCAGATGCTTTCCAAGTTTTTCTCCAGGCGTAGGTGGCATTTGATCCTGGCCTATGCCCTTCTGAAGAATGCAGTTTTTTTTAACATCCCAGTCCTATATAGATCATGAAAACACATGGCTCTGACTTCATCAAAAGCAAAGGATAGTGATACTTTGCGTTTCTGTCTGGAACATTATCTTTCACTGCTGTTTAATACCTTTAAAAAGCTTGCTGGAGACCAGTGATTTTGAAGGACCTGTAGAAGAGGAAGATGCACTGTTCCTCTAGAACAGTGATTAGGGGAGCGGGAGGGACCTGTCTGCCATGCACACCACTGCTGTATGGACCAGTATGACTGCTAGGAAAGGAGTTGGCTCCTTGAATCTGTTATAGGAGGGACAAATATCAGGAACCACTGTTCTAGGTCCTCTAACAGTGCTTCTAGATTTTCAAATATATTTTAATTAATAGAAACATTTTGTAGGAAACTCAAACATTATGGCAAAGTGCTCTGAACAGTGCCTGGCACATACTGAGCACAAGGTGCTTGCTGTATATTTACAGCACTGTGCCTGAACCATATTATATTAGTCTCCATAGAATTGCTTTCATCTTTGGCCCATATTGTCCACTAGCCTCTGAACTATTCTGAGAACATCACACAAAACCAATGAGTTCTACTGGGCTCTGTTTACTCTAAGGGTGTCATCATGGGTATTGCTGATCCCATTACACAAAATCTCTGTATGAAAACATGAAGTTTATCCCTTGCTCCAGAATAATTATACTTCTCCTAGGCAATTGATTTGATTTTACCACACTGATCTGCACAACTGTTAACTTGATTGTGCTTCTCTTTTTTCATTGGCTGCTAGCGTGGATCTAGATTTTTGATCCCCCTTCTAGCATGTGTTATAGAATCTGGGTCATACATTTTATTAACTGAATTTCTGATTTCAACTTTCTTACTCTTTCTCAACTAATAAAAATAGTTACCTCTCTGGGTGATTGTATGGGTAGACCTTTTATTATAATGAAAAATATACTGCACACCATTTGAATAAGGCATAGTTGGTACAGTGGCTTCTGGAGTCTGTGGAAGGAGTCTTCCCTTTAGTCTTCTGTCCTTCATTTCCTGCCAGAGAATGGGCAGCTGCCAGAGCTAAATGGCTCCGTGTCCATGTGGACTTGGCACTGGGGTTCTACGTGCAGAGCTTCACTTGGACACCTGGGTCCTTTTTAATTCTCTGTCCACTGGAAATCACCATCATATGAATTCTTTGACAAAGAAGTTGACCTGCTATTAAGAATTATTCTCCTATCTTTCCTTCTCAGGTTCTGAGAAAATATAGATTATAATATATTCTTGGATTCTAGTCAGAGAATTTGATCATGTGAGAACTGGAATATTAATTTAGCAACAATAAACTGCCATTAACAAAGAAGTCATTTGTGATTGTTAACGTTCTTAAGAGCTTCCATAACAATGAACAAGACATAGGCTCCAGAGGGGCTGGAGCAGAAGACAGAGGTGTGGCAGCAGGTGCTGCCTGGCACAGCTGGCCTGGGGAGTGGCACCTGGGCCTGTCCTCCGGCTGCACCTTCAACAAACAAGCAATGCATCTTTCACTAGTGAGACTCCAGGGTTTGAATGCAGTATGCTTGGTCCACATTTCTGTTCTAGGACTGGGCATGACTCTGTTGCCTCCCTCACCTATGCAGTGCATTGGGAAGGAGTGGGATGAGAGGAGGAAGGAGGTTCCTTTTCTCATGGTGGTGGGAGAGCCCATGCTAAAAGTTGAAATGTGGGGAAATGGCCTAGGACAAGGTGGCCCAACTCTGGGTCTCTCACATCTGCCTCTGCACAATTAAGACTTTCCTCTAGGGTGGTAGACACCTCCCTCGTGAATACTGAAGCACTGATTTCACTGGACCAGCTCAGATTATATGATACTCAGTTCCGCATTTAACAACTGGATCTACTTTTTCAGACTGCCAACCCTCTAGGTGGTCTATTGCAGACCAGTCTGGTTTCAGTCTTCCATTCGCATGGAGGAAGGAGGTGTTGGGGCCAGCTTGGTGACATTAGCTCCTTCTCTCCTGTCTGCCCACAACCAGGTCAGACACACACAAGAAAGTGACACCTCCTTTCTCTGTTCGGGGCATTTGTAAGATTCTGCTTCTCCTCTGACATTTCACATCCTCTCCCTTTCCTCTGTTTTCTGTAGTTTCTGGCTACCTGTCATTTCCTGTGCTTTTGCTCTGGCATCCCTCTGGCTATTATTTAAGTTCTTCTCAAGATGTTTGTCTTAGCTTGCTTCTCTCAGCTCTAGCACTGCAGAAATGTGACCTGCTAGCCTGGCTACCAAAGCTCTTATTAGAGGGTGGGATTGGGGTGGAAAGGGATGTGTGAGTGAAGGGCCTTGTAGTTGACATCCTCCATCCTTCATGCTCACTGTGATATTCAGGTTGGGGCTCCATGCAGCAAGGTGTGCCTTGGCTTCAGGGGACCCTGGCATGAGAGTTAGGAGATACCAAGATCTATCCAGAAGCTGTTCCCATGTAGTCCCTTGGTGAATGGTGCCAGCTCTCCAGTCTCCTCAAAGAGCAGACCCTCATTGTCGACATGCCTCTGGAGGCTGTGCCTCTGGCTAACCCAGACCCAGCTGGTCAAGTCAAGCACTGCTGGGCCTAGAGTTTCACAGAGGCCCTCCTGGCCAGGAGTGAGGTCATCCAGGGGGTGGTTGTGCCAACTTCCAGGGCACACCTTTCAGTGGCATGTGATCTGGTTCTCCTCATGGTAGTTTTGAAATCTTGTGGTTTCCTGTTTTGATGAGTGGTTTTGTACATATAATCAGTGAAACTATCCTCACAAATTACATGCATCCCCTATTTCATTTAGAAGTTGGTAAGATGTTTTTCCAACCTTTTAAGTGTATTCTTTTTTTTCTGTCCTCTTTAGTCCCAGGTAAACCACCACAGTGCTGCTAGTAATGAAACCTACCAGGAACGCTTGGCACGTCTAGAAGGGGATAAGGAGTCCCTCATATTGCAGGTGGGTACTGTTTGGTGAGAATCAGCTTATCCTGTTACCTCCTACTATGTAGTTTCCCCTACGTGGAAGGGAAGCACAAGGGATTTTCTCTGTTGGAATTTTTCTCCTTCCAAAGCGTATGTTTTTAGAAAAGACTTTTCCTGAAATAAAGCATTAAGTAACTGAGGGGACATTTAACTCTAGACTTGGCTTTGGGGGGCTATGAATTCATTCATTCATTTATCATGCACTACCAAGCACTTGCCTCTATACACTGGAAGCCCCATGACCAGGCTGATTTCCAGGTGCTAAGAATGAACAAAATGGGCCCTGTCCCCCAGAAGCCCATGAGTCTTGTGCGGGAGGGGAGATATATCCTCATGCCACTAATAAAACAGAGCTGTGGGTGATATGGGCCTAAGGGTGAATGCTAATGGAATCAAGTCCAAATTGTCCGACGCTGGATCTAGACTGATCACTTTGATGCCAAATCCCCTGGAGCTGGTAATGGGCTAAGCCTTTGATCGCTGTCTTGCTTGAAAGAGAGGAACTCTAAAACCTTTTATGGAGAAGGATAGTCAAGGGAGCTTTTTTTGCTTTTGAAAGTTTGTGTGCCTTGGTAGGACATAGAGTTAGGTATTCTCATAAGAAGGCTGTTGAAGAAGCAGGTCTAGCACTTTGCTGTGTTAACTCTTGAAAATATAAATTGATTTAGCAAGCATTTATTCAAGGTCTGGTATGCATCAGATATTAATTGGTGATTTGGAAAATATAAAGGCTCGTATCCTAATCCCAGCTCCTTAAAAGCTTAAAGGGTGATGAGTTAGACTGGTGATAGAATGAAGGGAGGGGTTGAGGGAGGCCTGGCCCCCACCCCAGGCTATGGGCTTTAGCTTGGAGCACTAGGGTTGTGAGGTGGCAATGTGTTTGTTTCATCTCTTTTTACCTTATATATTTTATTCTTTCATTGTATTTTATGAACATAAGGGTAATGAATGATTTTAGAAACTTTTAAAATTCTAAAAATTTGAAGAAGCAGGTTAACATTTTGGCCTTTTTTCCAGTGTATTTTTTTTTCTCTTGCCTCTATTCTAAATAACTGAGCTCATACCAAATATACAGTTTTACTTTGAAGTTTTGTGTTTTTCTTCACTTCATTAATTTCTTCATTATAAAATAATTGAGTATCTACAACTTGTGAGATGCTGGTTTTAGATGCTGGGATGCAGCAGTGAAGGAAGCAAACTAAGTTCCCGTTCTTGTGGATCTTCCATTTGAAAGACAGAGAGTGGGCCAGGTGCAGTAGCTCATGCCTGTAATCCCAGCACTTTGGGAGGCTGAGGCGGGTGAATCACCTGAAGTTAGGAGTTGGAGACCAGCCTGACCAGCATGAAACCCTGTCTTTACTAAAAATACAAAAATAAGCCAGGCATGGTGGCGGGTGCCTGTAATCCCAGCTACTCGGGAGGCTGAGGTAGGAGAATTGATTTAACCCAGGAGGTGGAGGTTGCAGTGAGCTGACATCGCATCACTGCACTCCAGCCTGGGCAATAGAGCGAGCCTCCATCTCAAAAAAAAAAAAAAAAAGAAAGAAAAGAAAAAGGAGAGTGTGAATTGACAATAAGCCAATACATAAACTATTTCAGGCACTGGTGAGAACTCTGGAAAAAAGTAAAGCAGGATGAGGATTGTGTAGTAAAAGGAAGATCTCCTTTACAGGAGGAAGCTGGGCAGGGAGCCATGCAGATACCTGGAGAAGTGCATTCCAGGCAGAGCAGGTGGTCAGTCCAGCCCACACAATGAGGCAAGAGTGTGCTTGGGGTGTGGGAAGAATAGCAAGGGACCATTGTGCCTGGAGTCAGTGCCCAAAAGTGTGGTGCAAGCTGCCTTTTAGAGAGGTAGCAGGGGTCAGATTGAATAGCACATTGTAGCACAGATATTTGAGGGATATGTAATTTGAAACTGATATCCCAATGACATGATTAATGAAAGAGTATCCAATGTAAGATTTGGCAGCAAACAGTATGGCATTGCAAACTTTTGAACCAGGACCCTTCATGATTGAAATAGCACATTCCTATTTAGAGAGGATTACAATTTAATTTTTTAAAGTCCTGTGTAATAATGCTGCCTTTCACATTCATAGTTTTCTAAAATTCCAAATTCTTGAATAATCCCCATTTAAATAATCCTAACACAACTGGGAAGCTGCTTACCAGTAAAGTCAGAAGTTGACCCTAGTGGTTTCTACTCTACTGGGAGCTTATGGGCAGACTCCAGGAGTATCTGTTACGTGATCACTGCTGTTCTGTAGTGGCCCAGTGGAGCTGGTTAGGCAGATTCTCAGCAGGGTAGAGCCTCTTGCTTAATGCACACAGCAGCTTAGCCAGACTGAATTAATTTAGAGTCCTTGGCCCAGAAAGTTTTCCTGGTTCTACTTGTAGAAAAAGGCAAATCACACATAACAAAATACTTTGTTTCTAGGATTAGTTAAAAACAAAACCAAAATCTCTTATATCTTTGTTATAATGTAACTCCTTAAGAAAAGGATTTTCATCCTTTTTTTTTTTTTTTTAACTTGTGTATCCTCCAGTACCTAAAATTATGCCTAACATCTATTAGGGTTTCAAAAATAGTTGTTTTCAGTGAACGAAGGTCACATTTTAGGACCTTTATGTATTTTGTCTGGATTTCCTACATCCCTTCATTCGTAATACTTAGAATCAGCCTTGAGGTTCAGAAGGACCCTGGAGCTGAACAATTAGCTACAGAATGCTAGAGATCCTATAATTCCTTGAGTATCACCAACACATGGCCTCAAGACATGGTATAGACCATAGAAATGTTTAACCCTCATAATAAGATTAACCAGAAAACATCCTTCACAAACAGAAACTCTAGATTCCAGTGAACAAAGCCCACCCCGAGAGTCCTGCCCTTTTGAAAGTGGAGTTAGTTCAGGATGGCTGAGAGTGTTGGGCCACAGGGATTAATAAATAAACACCCACCCACAAAGGTTTGCGTGTAAGGTGGACCAAGTTGATAGAGCCTTTTTTTTTTTTTAAACAGATTTTTTGGTTAAAAGTGGAATGTTAACCATGTGTCGACTCCAGGAATATGTTTCAATAATTCATTCATCATTTGGGAAAATAAAAATGGAAATCTTAAAGTAGGCATATTAATTTAGATTAGTTCCTTTTTAAACAGGCGCTTTATAATTCAGAAAGTTTATTTAAACACTCATAAATGAATTACATCAACTCATGCTCCATCTATTATTCCATTACAGACTGGGAAATAATTCCGGATAATCTATATGTAAATGGCAATGACTCTAACCAAAAAGGTCGAAAGGATCTCAGTTTATCAACTGTTAATTTCTTCACTTTGGGGAGGACACTCATTCTCTTTCTTCTTGCTTTGAGCCATCTCTTAATAAAGAAAAAGGATCCTGGGGCAGTTTGCTAATAGAGAAGGCTATGAAAACCATTGTTAATATATAGTTAGGGCATAATTTGAATGACTTCCTGTAAATGAGTTTTTACTAATTAATATTTTCAATAGAGATTCTCAGCATTCTTCAGAAAGATGACTTTGTTCCTGCCACCGTATGTGTAATGTGGCTCCTCTATATTTATGACTTAGAGTCATGTTTTGGCCTGTGAAGCACAAAAACCTTTCTGGAGCCAAGTTTTGTCAGTGCTAATACATGCCCTTTACAGCCCACATTCCTTAATTGCAACAAAACACTCGCCTGATAGGTGAGCAGTCCTCACACCCTTATGAGAGAGGTAAGGTCATTGGTTAGTTTCCATGAAGTTTGGAACGCTCTTCCACATGAGGTTCCAGAAGTCCTGACAAGCCAGCTGAGATGTGCCTTGAGGTTGGGGCTGTTCTGGAAAAGGAATAAGGAGCAGGAGTCCAGCCCAGAGGCAGCTCCTGTGGCTGTTGGGTGTTTTACTCTTGAGTCTGTCAAGAGCAGTAAACGTGACCCATGTCATCAGAGCAGTGGCCGAGATTTCCTGGTAAGGTAAGAATCTAACTGGAGCTGCCTTCATTCAGGGCACTTCCTCCACCCGCCATTCAGCAAAAAGCAAAACTGTTCCCTGTGTGTAAGAGTCAGTGGTGAGGTTTCACGGCTCGCCTGCGGTGGGGAGGCTTTCCTGCACCATGTCAAGTCCCTGGTCCTCCACCATTGCTTTATTTCCTGGAACAGGTGAGTGTCCTCACAGACCAAGTAGAAGCCCAGGGAGAGAAGATTCGAGACCTGGAAGTGTGTCTGGAAGGACACCAGGTGAAACTCAATGCTGCTGAAGAGATGCTTCAACAGGTAAGGGCAGGTGCACTGAAGGCCCTTGGGTTCTGAAGCAGCTCATGTGCTGAAGCCCCTTTGTGTGCCCAGGCTACAGATCTCGCTGTCGTCTTTCCTATCCTGCCTGGAGGTGGGATTGGCTGCTCAGTGTATAGTGTTTATACAGCAAGTGAAACCAACCTGTACGTTGAGGGTGGCAGAGGGGGTAGGGAAAGGAAGGGCTGCCCTGAGATGAATAACCTGCTGAGCTGGTTAGACAGATTCCCAGATAGCACTTTCCCCAGACCTGGTGCAGTGAGGGAGCCCTCAGCTGGGGGCCTCACCCTCATCCTGTGAGTGCCATCTGGAGTTTTAGAAAGTCGATTATCAGCTGATTCTATGCCCCTTTCCCATCCCGCTCCACCTCTTCCTACTCTATATAGTTTTTTAAATAAAAATTACTACATAAATAACATTTTAATATAATTTAATAGATATCAAAATGGAAAAAATATTAAACTGTTCCCTACCATTCAAATAATGTCTTCTCCTTGTTTTCTTTTTGCCCTTGTTATGTGTATACATGTACTTTCCAAATCTGTAGTCCCAAGAGATGCGCAATTTAGTCCTCTGATTTTGTATGCTTAATATCATATAATTTTTCCCATTTAAAATTTTTGCTGTATTGTCATCTTTACTATCACTTATAATAGATTTTCTTAGTAAAAGTATCAGAATTGACTTAACTATTTTTCAATTCTTAAATACTTTTTCTGTATTGTAAATAATGAGCTACAATTTTTTAGGAAGGGGTGTTGAATTTTTATTGCATCAAAACTCTTCAGAATTTGTTGAGAAGCTAATTAGGTTTTTAAATGAACTGTATTAATATATCTAATATTTAATTTTCCTTAAATCATTCTTACATTTTAAGTTATCTTGAAAATTAAACAATGACTGAAGTTTATGTGTGTATGCCTTATAACTCCTGGCAGAGTACTTGGCACATAAAAGGTGCTCACAATTACTTAAAGAACAAAGGTTGGTCCTTAAAATGAGTGGATTCAATTAGAGGACTACTTACAATCTTTCCCCCAAAAGCACTAGCATTTTTTTTTAATTGTCATGATCAGCATAAGACTCAGATTGTTTCTTGACAGCATACTGGTGAACACAGGCTTTGCATTTTATCTTTGGTTACATGATAAACATCTTAATTCTGGTGTTTGCTAGTTTGAGTGCTTTTGAATAACTTTATATAAATGTAAGTCAGTGTTTTTATATATATGTCTTCATAAAAACCAGTTCCAATGGCTCAGAAACTTTTGTTTGTTATCTTTTCATTGCTGATTAATAAATTACCACATTCTTGGCTCCATTTGATTTTCTACTTAGGTTGTGTGCCATTTCTCTTGTTCATAATATTCCCTAAAAATCTGACTAGCAAGAGGAATTGAGGCTTTTTTTTTTTTTAATTGAATCTTTCTTTTGAAGACCCAGGAAAGAAAATAGCCTGATGGAAAAAAAATCTCAAATGATGAAAGTATTTTCAGAAAGAGTGCAGAAAACAACCTACTAGATTGTGTTTTCAAGTCTGCACAAGGTGTGGTTTTGAGGTGAGAAGGATAAGGGAGGAAGATGATGGAATGGTGTAAACAATCCAGAAAGAGATCAAGAATATTTGAATATGGAAAGGAACATGTCGGAAGGTTGATGTTTCAGGAAGGTTATGCCGGGAGAGTAACCACATAATCAGACGTCAGAGAATAGCTGCATTGTAGTGCCTGAGTTATCTGACTGCCCGTGCTGCTGTGCCTGCTCTGCATAGCTCTCCATGGCAGTGTTTCTGCTCCATTGTCAGAGTCTCTGTGACAAGGAGTCTGATTGTGATGCCCTGTACCACTTGGGGAGAGGCTGTCTAGTTCCTCTAAGCATCATCCCATGGATGCCATTTTAGACTTTTTAAAAAGTCATAAGCTCAGTTACCTTTTTTATTCTGTTTATTCTAAATCCTCTTTCTTGTGTGCTATGGGTTTGGTATTGGGCATGTGGTACCATATGCCATACAAGTAGATGTCTTAACCTGGCATATTTTGGAGTATGGTAGCCACTTCTGAGTTTCAAAGATTCCTGAGCTTGACCAAGTTATTTTTCTGCTCATAAGCTTTCATTGTGTTCTCTCAAATTGTCAAGGGTAAAATGATAGCAGTGTGCAGTGCTCCTTTCTTAACAAATTGAGTTCAAGCCATAGGACACACCTGAGCCTCATCTCCCACTCATGTGTTCGCTGGGCTGGGTGGCACCAGAGCTTGAGATCTTTTGAGTTCCCAGATCTAAATCCAAAGTTGAATGTTCGGCCACACATGCTGTTGCTTTCCTGACGTCTGTTTGATGCTGTTTGTGAAGACACTTGATTCTTGCACCACAGTGCTGATGCAATATCTCTGGCTGGACTATGTATGCATTCTCTGAGCTAGGGACAGGCAAACACTTGCCTGATTTGACTGAGATATCCTGGGCTGCAGGGCCCTTGGCTTCTGGTGGTAGGAGCAAGAATGACTCATGGCCTAGAGGCAGAGAATGGAGACAAACAATTGCCTCTTTCTGCCAGCCTCAGAAACCATTCCTGCCCAGAGCCAAGGCGAGCGTGCTGCTCAAAGGCTCTAAAGGAAATCCTTTCACTGTCTCAGCATGCGCCCTTCTGACTGCCTATAGATAAGGTGCTTTCTCTGGGTTTGCTGCTCCTGATAACCCTGCAGGCTGAAGACATCCTGTCTGAAGGCAGCAGCTGCTGTTCTACTCCAGTTGACTGCCCATTTAAGCCCAGTAATGCTAGATATTCTCATTTTTCACAAGACTCAAAATCCAGATTTAAAGAGTTAAAGACGTCTGCTTTTAAAATATTAGCAGCTAATTTAAGTTTTTTTAAATGCTGTGTGAATCATACAGTATATACCTATAGGTCAAGCCTGGCCTGCAGGCCTCTAATCTGCAACCTCTCCTCTAGACTTGGCCCCTTCCACAGTCTGGAATAACTCTAGGGGGACTTGGGGAAAGCCAAATCAATGAGCATAGCCCAAACTTTGTGCTTAGAGGGGCTCCAAGAACCCCAGTTGAGCTGTCTCTCTCCATAGTGTTCTCTTGACCAATGTCAACCTCCCTCCAGGAGTACAAGAGGTGAAGAGTTAGTTCCCTACCCAGTTCATGAACAATGTACTCATTGTATCCCCAGCCACAACATCCTCAGCCTGTCCCTGCTCAAGGCTGATCTCCCAACTCATATCTATTTTTGTGTACACATGAACTCATCTAGCCTCCAGAAAGAACAAAAAGACCTCTTTTGGGGTTAGACAGGCAAACCAGAACCAACCAGAGCCAGCAAAGGGGCAGGTCCACATGAGCCCACCTAGATTATGAACACTTTTCAGGGCAAAATAATGTTTCTATTTTGCAGCCCATGGCAGGATATAGGATGGGAAGGGAATATGATAGCTACAAGTATCTCTCAGGACTGCTACAGGCATATCATAGCTGTCAACATAGGCATATAGACATACCTTGTAGCTGTCTGTATAGACAGCTACAAGCGTCTCTCAGGACTGCCTGTGGAAGCACCTAGTCACATGTGGTCTTAGACTCACTGAGCATGTCTGGATTGCCCAGGAAACTTTCCCCATTAAGAAGAGACATTTCTTGGCCAGGCGCTGTGGCTCATGCCTGTAATCCCAGCACTTTGGGAGGCCGAGGTGGGCGGATAACCTGAGGTCAGGAGTTCGAGACCAGCCTGACCAACATGGTGAAACCCTGTCTCTACTAAAAATACAAAATTAGCCAGGTGTGGTGGTACATGCCTGTAATCCCAGCTACTTGGGAGGCTGAGGCAGGAGAATCACTTGAACCCAGGAGATGGAGGTTGCAGTGAGCCAAGATCATGCCATTGCACTCTAGCCTGGGCAACAAGAATGAAACTCAAAAAAAAAAATAAAATAAAATGAAGAGACATTTCTCAAAAGGATCTTTAAGGGAGGGACAGTCCGTGTCAGTTTTCACTGGTCTGGTATTGTCTGAGCCTGAAAGTAGAACTCACAGCACTGGGCCCTGCCTCTTTGGTCCTTAAGCAGATCAAGGCATTGCTCAGCTGCACACTGAGGCTATCAGAGGCCAGGGCCCAGAATTGTACCCTAGGGTTTCAGGCACGGACCAGCGATGTTCTCGTGACTGGCTCAAACTATGCTGGCAACAAAAATCTCTGTATCATGGGGAGGGTTTCCCTGGTCTGTGATATACTTGAGGCTCGTGGTGGCATTTTCTAAAGTAGCCACTGTGAGCTCACTGGGGTCTAGTAGGTTCTGCACCCTTCTCTAGAGGAAGAGGATCTCTGGGAAGAAGCTGATGCTACTCAGTGAATAAGAGGTTTTACATGGAGCTGGTGGCCAAATGGAGCATTTTCCAGAGACTGGCCATTTACAGATATAATCCATATAAACAGAAACAGTGTTCAGTGTCAAAACAACACAGGGAAAGGGAGCACCGTGGGGAGGAAGTAAGGATGCAAACCTTGTGAGGACATAATCCTGCTTTTAGGAAATCTTGGACAACACCAGCCTCTATTTCCATCCTCCCTACTGAGCCAGAGCTTCAGGGTTTAGGCAACTTCATTTTTTTGACTTTTAGGTGAGGTTGGGGAGTGACAAATATAGGGGATTAAGAGTTCATGGATATGAGTTTCTGTAGATTCACTATTTGCTGTTGATCTGGGAAAGTCGGTGCACCTGTTTTCTTACTAGTAGAGATTGAGGACGACAATATGGACTCTGTATTGCCCACCTCTTACTTCTCAGAGTTATAGTAAAGTTATTCCAGTGTTATTAAGCACGAGCTATCACACAGTTGGGCATTGTGAGTCAGGACACTGAGCAGGAGGTCGTGGGCCTAAGACATAGGCCTAGTAGCTGCCTGGTAAATTTCCCAGGAGTGCCTTTAAGCAGGTATTTCTATCTCAAAGAGAATATTAAACAGAGCTGTGTACATGTTCCGGT